AGTAATAATTGTCTAGATCGAAGTATATTTTTACATGTGTAGAATTAACTATGATAGCAAGGCATAAAGTAAAATGAAGTCTTGGAGTCAAGAACACGATTTCGTTGGTAGTTTGAGAGTTCGTCAGAAGTTATGCCGGAACCAACCGAGAAGTCTAGGAACTTGCCAAAGAAGCTCGTCGGAACTCACTAAGAAGATCATTGTGAAGTCCAGGAGCTTGTCGGGAGTCCGCTGGAACATTGCCGAGAGATCGTCGGAAGTTCGCCAAAAGATCGCCGGAAGCTTGCTGGAAGAAACCTAGACTTACGGACTTGTTTAGCTTAGGAAATATCTTAGAATTCGTAGTTAGCACATAATTAGGATTGAAATTGGACCAACCCATTAGGGGTCAGTTGAGCCCATGTAAGAACTATGTTGGGCTTAATGAAAAGGCTCAAACAGTGCCCTAAGAGGTGATACCATCGTGGCATAGTCTTCGAGACTGTGTCAAGCGGTGGTACCGCCAATCTGGGTGGTAGAACCGCCCCTGGCAGAGTGCTAAGTAGTGGTACCGTCAGATTGAGCAATGGTACCACCTAGTGCAGTGTCAGTGTCAGACTGACATAGGCAGTGGTACTGCCCATACCTAGGAAACCCGAGATGAGATATTTTTAGACTCCAAGTTTGAATCAACTTGAAGCTTATAAATACCCCTCTCACCCCTAGTTAAGTTACACAAGACTTGAGAGTAAAAATAGAAAGAAACATTGCTGCAATCTTGTGTGAACTCCTCTCAAAAGTTTTAAGTGTTAGAATAATTTGAGAGAGGAGTAAGTGGGGGTGTAAGGGTTATCTCCTAAATCCGGTAAAAGGAGAATCGAGTTGTAAAAGGTGGTTGGTCTTCACCTATTGAAGGAAGACCGATAGTGGATACTAGTGGCCTCGACGGAAGAGGAATCGACGAAGTGGATGTAGGTCACGACGACCGAACCACTATAAAATTGATGTGTTCTCTGATTTGCATTTCTATTGTTGTCATTTACTTTACTGCAAACCATTTCACGTGTTTCAAGTTAAGTTTCAAAAATCGATTTTTATCGTACGAAAGAATTTTTCGAAACCGACGTATTTTACCGCTGCACTAATTCACATCCCCCCTCCCCCTCTTAGTGCCAACTCTTTTTCTAACATATATCACTACTAGAGAGAAGAACAATTGACCTACTTCATCCACTCCTATAAATCTAGGAATTTTTAGGGATATATGATCTCCCTAGGTAACAAATCTCCCTTGACACATGCAGTTTTTAGTTTTGTATTTTGTTTTGCATACCAATCTTCGCATGATGACAAAATCTTTTTCTTTTTGAAAATCTAGATTTTATTTTTCTATTATTCTATTATGCATATGATGCTCTGTCTAGATTTTCTAACGTAACTCATGGTTAGCTCAGTATTAGGCTAAGAGGATCATACACTTATGATGGATGACACAACAAATAGAAGATTGGATATGTGATATCCAATAAACACTTGTTTTATTGGATTTTTTTGATGAGACCCAATAAGAGCTTAGAGTGGATAATTGGATAGAGATCCAATTTCTATTAAGCTATGGATAATTGGATGGAGATCTAGTATCCAATATGTTATGATAATTGGATGAAGATCCAATACCCAATAGATAAGGATTCAATAGGGTTAGCAAAAAGGGCTCTCTATAAAAAAGGATATGAGACTAAAAGGGTTATAAAGCTGGATCTATTAGTTATCGCTCCCTATCCTTCTCTCCTCGCTTCTTTCTCAGCTAACTGGCCCCCCTCTAGTGTGAGAGAGTATTAAGACGGATTAACCTTGCTATGTGGAGATGGTGCGCGAAAGCAAAAAAAGAACGCATCGCGAAAGAAGATGAGTCACCACTTTATATGTCATGTGGATCATGCTAGAGAGAAGAGCGCTAAATCTCCTTCATTTATGGACTAGGATTTGCAAATCAGGGATATATGAGTTCCCTTATATTAGATCGTCTCACATCTTATGTAGTTTTCGAATTTAATGAGTTTTTGCTCCCAATTATTACACGTGATTTGATATAAACTTATTTTTTAAAAATTAATTTCTGTTTTATTTTTTCCTAACAATATAGACCTCAGTTTTTCTAATTGGCATATCATCCAATTTTTGGATATTTTGTCTAATCTTTGGATATTTTGTTTGAACCTCTAGGATGTCACCAAATCCTTTGTCATGTCGACTTCATCATGACATCATATCTTTCAATGCCACATCAAATCCTCCAACACAATTGACTAGAGCTATACTATGAAGTCTGATCTCTAACACACTGACCAATCTTATTACTTGATATTCAACTTATGACACAACATTTGACTCTTCAGTGATTCGAGTCTAGTGTCCAGGTGCTTCCTACATCATTTAACATAATATTAATTTTTAAAATTTTTAATTAATTTAATTATCAAAATTCGGGACTTAGCAATTGCATAAATGTACATGTGTATTGGAGAGACCAAATGATATTACCATTCATTCGTAGATATCATTCCTTGTTTTGAGTATTTTTCATTCTAAGTCTTATATAGACTTAATGATAGCCACTAATAAGATTAATCTTGGTGTACATTCGTCATGATTTATTTTTTTTGAAAGAGGAGAGTTGGCACTGTACAAGGACTTAAAACTTTCTCGGACCAAACCCTCAAAGTTTATCCATTTAACTTAGTTTCTTGTCATGTTCGTTTGGACTTATTTTATAAGTGGCATTGGCAACGCAAGGTGTAATATCAATATAATGTCTCTCACGGGTGAAAATTTAGGTGAAGTCTCCTCGAGTACAACATCCGAAGATTTTTCAAAGAGATGCTTGATTATAACAGAGGATCTCCACTAACCTTATTATTCTCAAAAATAATGAGAGCGTATGCTTCACCGCATACTTCAAGCTCTCTTTTGAGTTCAAGGGAGATTATGCTTCATTGCCTACAATAAGAGCATATGATTAATTGCCTATTCAATCTACTAGCAACTATCTTCGATACATAATCATTAACCATACATCATGCTTATAACTTATATGAACAAAAATATCATTTTATAAATAACAATCTTTATTTCAAAACTTCTCGTTATAACATATTCTTACAAAGTTCTTTTAAATTTTAAAATACCTTAAAATATCTACAAATAATGAGGATGTAAATCTTTCAAATATCATTAACAAATTACTATATTTAACATTATCATCTCGCAATAAATTAGCTTTCAAAAATTCATAGCTGTCGAATGTATAACTCATCGATGACTTCATCTACATTCAGATACAAAATTAAAGTATTAATGTTCAAATCACATTCTTTCATCAACTTATCCTATAGGAGATTCTCAACCATACATGGATTAAATTGGATATGCTCATCAATAACATCATGGATAGTATACAAATTATGATTGATATTTTGTTTGATTTCCTCTGCTATATTTTACTCGACCCATTCATGTTCAAATACCTTCTCATGACTGTTTCTATTTTCATCTATTACAAATGTCTTACTTAAATCAAAATTATGAGTTTGAAATTGTAAGAATATAGATCTTTCAATTTGGTTTTATACTATACAAGTAAGAAAGACAAAGCATATATTCCAATTAAACTCTTCATCTCATCTAAAATATCATAATTTGTTAAGTATTAGTATTCAAATGAAATTAAAAATCTCCGAGAGAAATAAGAAAATTTAAAAATTATTTTAACCTACCCGAAATATGGATTTTCGTATATTCTTTATATTATAATCACTCGATAGATAGAAGTAGGAGAGACAAAGCATATACTTCAATTAAGCTCTTCATCTCATCTAAAATATCATAATTTGTCTGGTATTAGTATTCAAATGAAATTAAAAATTTCTGAAAGAAATAAGAAAATTTAAAAATTATTTTAACCTACTCGAAATATGGATTTTTCTATATTCTTTATATTATAATCACTCAGTAGGAGAGACAGTTTATATTTCAATTAAGCTCTTCATTCTCATCTAAAATATCATAATTTATCCGGTATTAGTATTCAATCTAAAATATCATAATTTATCCGGTATTAGTATTGAAATGAAACTAAAAATCTCAAAGAGAATGAAGAAAGGTAAAAAATTCTTTTGACCTAGTCGAAATAAGAAATTTCCCCAAGTAGTGATGGCTTTGGCCATCTGTGATCGACCACAACTGTCACCCGACACTGTGACGAAACATTTTCCACTATTTTGGAGTGATAGGTGGAGGGGAAGATGAGTTTGACGATCCCACAAATACGGATTGAAGGCTTCGATTGATTGGTGTCCAAGGACAACTCTCAGTTCAAAATCATAACATAGCCCTTTCAAAATTTTAGGCTACTTGCTCGTGTGGATGAAGAGTCCAACGACCAACAACCCTCCCATGTTTTATTGGACGAGGACACGATAATGTGGGCTAATTTAGGTACCATATTGGGAAGCTGCAATTCTGTTGAACTCGATCGAATCGGTTCATGCAAAAATTCATATAATGAAAACTAAGTTATTTTAACCAAACGAGTGAGGGTCTCATCTATTTTTGCGGAAAAAAAAAATATTCTTAGTAAATTCTGATTAGTGTCAAAAATAAATAGTGAGATCAGTAAATTTGCCTAAACAGGCTTGACCTCCACGAGAAATATTATTTATATGTTGTTTTGAGGTTGGATCGCAAGGGAGCTTTTACTGCACGTGCGAATTCTCCGCTTCCGCGGCGTTGAGATAAACAACAGCGGTCGAATCCGCCACGTGATCTCCTTTCCTCTCCACACGGACTATGGACACGATTTTGTTGTTCAACTCCGGGACCCTGATGCCCCGGTCAGCGCCCTAATATTGGTCGGCGACGACAGTTAGATCAACCTTACCGACACGCAACCCACTGATGTACCCCCTCAGCGAAGCGCCGGCCCCGCGTGGTAGTCGCCATTGGTTTCTTTCTGGGTTAGGAAAAGACGTTCGTTTAACATGTGCTTGCTCGGTGGAGAACTTAACCCGTCTCTCGCCTCTCGTATTCTCCTCGTCGTCCATCGACGGCATACGCAAACCCTAACTACCACGCGCCGCCGCCCAATCTGTGGGAGATCGAATTTGAAGCCCTAGCCTCCTTCCAACCGCGGAATCAGCCGCCGGATCGCCGCCGCACGTAAGTTCGTCTCTTAAGCTGAACGATTCTTCGAGCCTTCGCCTTATTCTATTTAATTGTCTGGAACCGACCTCCATATCCTTCGTGTTTCTTTTTCAACTTTTCCGAATTCAAAAGATTTTTCTTCCTATTGTTTGATTGATGGGTTTCGTGACTGATTTTCAACTCAAGGATGAATTTTTGATTATCGAATGCCATTTGCTATCTTTTCTCGGTTGGCGTTAAGTCGTCGTTCTCTGACCTTTCGGTTTTCTCACAGTTGAAGCGTTTTCTGTTGCAGATTATGGAATATTGTTGAAGAAATATATGGTTTTTATCAAGGTAGATCGTGTATTGGTAATCTCGGGGAGCAAAAAATAGTGAGTCCCGTTCGGTACGAATCTTCATGGGTGAAGATAGTGTTAGGCATATTGGAATATCCTCCGGATTGGCTGTTCTACTATCCGATGATAAACCAAAAGGTAATCCCCAAAAGTCCCGCTTGATTTCTTATTGTGATAGCATCGGTGATCATTCGGTGGAAAGGACTCTGGAACATATTTTTGATCTACCTCACAAATCAGTTCGTCCCTCTAGTAGTTTAATTGATGTTGATTTCATCCGGTCAATCTTGAACAAACAACTGCCAAGATTTCAGCAGGAAAATGATTCTGATTGCTATAAAAGAGATGGTCTATCCATTCTTGACGGTGGTTCTGCCCCAAATGCTGTTGTCATAGACAACGCTAGCACGCGTGGAGATATCAAGACCATAAGGAAACCATTGCTTGTAGAAAGCCAGACAGTGTTCAGTAGTGCCCGAGCAAACGCATGTGCATGGAAGGGGAAATGGATGTATGAAGTGACGTTAGAAACTTCTGGAATCCAACAACTTGGATGGGCTACTGTTTCATGCCCATTTACAGATCGGAAAGGCGTGGGTGATTCAGAAGATTCATATGCATTTGATGGAAAGAGAGTGAGCAAATGGAACAAAGATCCTATGCCATATGGTCAGTCGTGGGTAGTGGGCGATGTCATTGGTTGTTGCATAGACTTGGACAGTGATGTGGTCTCCTTTTTGAGAAATGGGCTTTCTCTTGGAGTTGCATTTGACAGGATCCAGAAAATGAGCCCTGGGATTGGATATTATCCTGCAATTTCTCTTTCTGATGGTGAGCGTTGTGATCTGAATTTTGGTGCTCGCCCATTCAAACACCCTGTTGATGGGTTTCTTCCTATTCAGGCTCCTCCAATCTCTAGATATTATGCTAATTACTTGCTTAGTTGCTTGACCAGGTTACTGGAGGTACGATGTTTGGATAAACCTGACTCAGCATATTTTGAGAAATTGAGGAGGTTTAGGAGGTTTGCACCCCTTAAAGAACTGTTTTACCCTATATCTCATGGTATCCTAGAAGAATTCTTTAATGTGATTCAGTCAAGTGAGGGGAGCTTTGAATATATTGCGTGGGGTGCACTTCCATCTTGTTTTTTAGGGATATTTGGTATACATGAACCACATGATTATGCAAGTTTGGATCAGGTTCTCGATTTATTTCTAGAATTTCCAGGATCCGATCCATTGTTGCAGCATCTAATTGTGGCACTTTCATGTAGTTGTAAAGTGGCACCACTTGTTCTGACAGAGTGTCCTTACTCTGGATCGTACCCTTATCTGGCACTTGTCTGTCATATTCTCAGGCGTAAAACTATGATGGTTCTGTGGTGGAAATCACCAGATTTTGAATTTTCACTTGAAGGATTTCTCTCAATGAAGAGGCCAAACAAGCAGGATTTACACTGCCTTATTCCATCTGTTTGGTGGCCTGGTTCCTGTGAGGATGTAGGCTGTGAAAGTAGCATGATGTTAACTATGACTGCACTATCTGGTGCTATGAACAAGGTAACTGTGCCTCTTTGGTTCATCTCTATTATTAGCTGCTAATTGTGTATGTTACATGTTAATCCTTAAATCTGCTTGCCACATGTCATTGAAAATAGGAATTCTGTGAGTAAGTTTATATGATGATCTGTAAGGTACAATGTGAATCACATTTTGCTTTTATGGTAATTCTTCAGCAACCTGAACTCACTTTAGTGATTTTCATAGCATGATCTGTATAATGATTTGTTGATTTGCTTTGTAACTGCTTATTTGTACTTTGGGTGACCAGATTTGGTTTAGACTATTCGTATGTATGATCTAAAATGATAATATGGTTGCGTTGCTTGTTCATGGGTGCATGTGGCATTTAATTATTTTATTTAATTTAATGCACTGGCTAATTGAATTTCATTAATGCCCTTCAATTTTGGTCATGCTTGAACCACACTTTCTGAAACACTGAAACCTGTCTGAGCTCATGAAACTTGTACAATTGTGATCACTGCTACATACTGGCTACTTCAATTGTCAGGCCACTCTGATTGTGGATCATAATGGAGTGTCAAAACAGCAAATTATCATATAGCAACTTACTTACACTTGTCTGAGTATTTTCACAGAAATAGTTTGCTTGTTGTTGCATAATTATAGAACTTGAGGGCAGGTATATGACTTGTATATTGTCATTATATTTTATGGAATTGTTTTGGTCTAGAATTGAATATAATAACCAAATGAGAAATTATTCTATCATCTAACAGAGTTGAGCTGTGATAGCTAATGCTATGTCGGTTTCTTTGCCACAGGTCTCTTAACATCCTTCTTGTCATACTTATTTGTTGCATGAGTATCTGTGATATGTTACTGTTTCTTATGTTTTTAGGAAGATCATCATTTCATTTGCTTTTTCTCTGTTGGTAAACATATAATTATCAGGATAGGGAAGTAGTAAGAGATACCTTTGCATTTACACCTCTTGTGATCAGTAATTACAGAATAAACCATGGTTCGCATTACTGGTCCGTATCGGTATACTGACCAACTGTTGGTACGGTACATATTGAGCTGTACCGAACATACCAACACATGATACATCAGAGTGTACCAATGTACCACTCATATTGATCCTCTGTCGGATTGGTACATACCCGCCCATATCGAGCGATGTACTTCGGTACGTCAAACCTTGGAATAAACAATATTGTAACATCATTTTTTAAATTTATGCATTCCTACCCTTTTGCAAAAAAAGAGAAAAAACAAGAATTAAATTATTATCTCACAAGTTTAATTCTGTAATTTCTTTCAACCACGCAAATTTTAACTTACTTTTTTCATTTTTTACATGATAAACAGTTACTTGAAATTCAAACTGTGGTTTTTGTGATGGTTTTTGCCTTACTGTATCTACTTAATACAAATTTGCAAATTCTGCTATCAATTTGTTTTATTAATCAGACATTTATAATTAGTTTACAAATGCTTATGGGGAAGTTGTTATTTGATACAGTTTCTCTACTGTAAATTATTTTATAGAAAAGCATGTTTAATATGCAGATTGAGGAGATGCACCAGCGACTTTGTAGTTTGGTCATACATTTTGTGCCTCGGGCAGCCCCCTGCCAGCCACCTGGTTCTGTGTTTAATACATTCTTGCAGAATTTCATCTTGAAGGTCAGAGGTGCAGAGCATAAGATGACTTCTTCCAATGTATCAAATAACTCAGTTGTAGTTTCTCTGTACACAGTAATCCTACGTTTCCTATCTGAAGGTTTTCCTGTAGAGGGCATATCTGGGTTCGTGAAAGGTTCTGGAGTGAATCTTGGAGCCAACGTTGGATTTCTTCATAGGGGTGGAAAGCGAAGATTTCCTGTGGAGTTGTTCTTCACAGGTGATGCAAATTGTGCTGGAGCCCGTAGAATAGGAGGTTCTTTAAATCACCTAGTTAACTCTCAACTATTTAATGAGGAACAAACAAAAGAAGTACAGTGGATCGAAGGCTGCATGGATGATGAAGAAACAACAGTAACACATTCTACTATTCAGAAGCCATGTTGTTGTTCAAGTTCTGATGTTGATGATATCCAAACAGTAGAAGATAGCATTGGATATACATCTAGAGGTTTGAAGGGTTTTTGTATTCCTATTTCTGAGAGATCACTTAATGTGGTAACATTGTGCAATTCCAGAAGTCTAGGTGATGAAATTGTCGATAAACCTAGTTCGAGCAATCAGTCAGATGTTGATACTGGATGCCGATCTTTGCCGTGTCCAGAGAGCATAGCAACAACTAGTGAATTATCATTGGAAGTACTAAGAGAGGAAGAGCTGCTTGATATGATGCTATTTCTGTACCATTTAGGTGTTGCACCAAACTTTAGGCAGGCAAGTGAATTCAGCTGTATTTGTCACACTTAGAATTACCATTTTGCAATATTCATTAATTTAAAGGAAATGGAACATCAGTATCGAAATTTGTTTTCTTTTGGTGACTTCATGAAATGAGAGTGTGAATCTTATATAATCCAGGCATCAGATGTTTGGCAATCAGATATAACTGTAGGCTTAAAATGCTACATGATTTCATACTGTAGCACAAGCTAACCTTGAAAACTTGGTTCCAATGTGGGGAATACATCATCCAATTTCCTTATCAACAGAATTCACCTTTACCTGAAACAGGAGATGTTCTAACACTCCTGCATTTGGCAATGTTAGAGGGGCATATCCTTAGTCAAGGGATTTATTTGTCGATGTGCAATTGGTATTCTTAGCTGCCACATTTTCTCATTATTATATATAAAATAAGCAAATGTCAGTATAGTTTAGTTTTTGTTTGTTTAAATATTTAAACCATTTCATTATTATTATCTTTATTTGTATGTGTCTAATCAGTTTGTTTTCTGTAAACATTAAAATGAACTTTTCATGAATTCCTTAATTGCAGGCGTTTTATTACATGTCTCATCAGTCACAATCAATTTCTCTCTTAGATGACACGGACAAACAAATAAGAGAAAGATCCTGCATTGAGCAGGTGAAGCGTTTGAAAGAAGCACGTAATGTATATCGAGAAGAATTGGTTGATTGTGTCAGGCAATGTGCATGGTAAGTCTGCTATCATAGAACCATTTAAAAAAGTTGCAATTCTTTTCTTTAGCTAGGCACTAAAAGAATCCATTATTGTTCAAGAAAGAATGCATTCTTGTTATACGATATCTGTAAATGAAATTGAAACAGGCTTTTCTTATTGGATTTCTCATTTGAAATTTGAAGATTCTTTCTCTTTTTTGTCTGTTCTGATTGTCATTGTAAGATATTATCTCTTGTATGAATGCTTTAAGAATATAGGTGACAGTCCAATGCAACAAAGTGACCAGTTGCTTACTGTATAAAGAATGAAGGCCATTACTAGCAGATGCGTTATATACTATTTAAGAGTCTAGTGAAGTTATTAGGTCACTGGTCTCTAGTTATCTTTTAATCCTTCATGCAGCGAGTTAATAGGTTTCTGCATTCTATGGTTCTCTCAACTTGCTGCAAACAATAGCCTGTCGGCTGCTTCTGATAAAATTTAGACGTAAGAGCTCCATCCACTGCACAGATCTGATTCAGTGCCGTCCTTGGAACCATTGCTTTATCAGGACTGCATTGATTTATTTACTTGTTTTTCTCCCATTCTATTCACAAGCTGAAGTGTTTTTCTTTATATCTTTTGTCTACTTTTATATTAATCAATATATTCTTATGACAATTAGCTTGGTCAATAATATGATTTATTATTAAGATTTCTAAAATTTAATGTGTAGCCAACTGTATACATGTTCCATGTCTTGGATGGAAATTTTATTTATATGTATGGAACTGGAAATGCTCGATAAACATGATGTAGAAATGTCATAATCAATAAAGTGATGAAATACCAGTTTTACTATTCTTTGCTTCTGAAATGTTTACTTTGATTATCCACAATTAGTGTAAACTTGTGGTTCATAGCTGCATATGTGGTATCACATCTGTGTATTAGAGTTTATCTGATGCTTTAAGGCAGTCGAAATCTTGAAAATCGGTCTGTCGAGAAAAAGAATTTGTAAGATGAGCTTGCAGTGAGGGACCATTACTGTATGTTATTTCACTTTAATAAATTAGGTTTACTCTATTGTCAGTACTGGTATGGAAAGTTGTCATTTATGTGGTACTATTTTTGTTTTTATGTTTTACAATAAATCTCAAGATTACTTGCAGATGGGTTCTTGTGGAAGTGGTATATACATGTTAACTATTTTTTATTATTTGTTTTTTTTATATCTATTCCAGTTTGTCTTATCAATTTTGGCACTTCCTTTCAAATACTGCAGGTACCGCATCTCTCTATTTTCTCGTTGGAAGCAAAGAGGAATGTACGCAACATGCATGTGGGTTGTGGAGCTGCTTTTGGTTCTAAGCAATACTGATTCTATATTTTGTTTTGTTCCTGAGTTTTATCTGGAATCACTGGTAAATGTTATTTTGTTGTATATTGCTATTTTTAGGTAATCAAGTAGTTTATTGGTGATACATTGTTAATGTACATTTTATTGTAACCTTTGCAGGTTGACTCTTTTCATGCATTACGGAAGAGTGACCCTTCATTTGTTTCTTCTGCTATTTTTATCAAGCAAGGCCTTGCTTCATTTGTATGTATCAAATGTGAAAACTACTCTTTTTTAGAAAAAATTATGGTGGAATTTGTTAGCATGTTCACATATGAAAGAGAACAATACTCTGAGAAAACAGTAACATTGTCATGCATATGCACTAACAAATAGCATGAAAGCCTTGTGACATGCATTTTTTTATTTACAAAATACATGCTAATTCTCTCCTTTATCTCTTAGATTGTTATTCTGAATTTTATAAAACATATAATTATTTACTTGATGTCAGTAATGATATATTGTTTGATGGTTTATATGAACCGAGAGAAACTTAGTAGCCCTAGAAGTAGGTTTCTGATGGAGATGAAGAGTTTCGGTTGGAACTGGAGGTATCTTGATTCATAGGCACAAATTAACATAACTTTGGTTTTCTTTAAGGTGAGAAATGACTGGTTCTTGCTTTAATGGTCTTGTTGTGGATCCTGTCATAGTCAAAATATTTTGTAGAACAATTTGTCTTCTAGTTTTCCAATTGGTCTGTCCATGAACTATGTCTGATCTTGTTCTCACTATTTGGATCAGAACAATCATAGGTATACCGGCTTAAATGTGCTGTGTTTAGTTTTACAAGTCTTACAAGAATCTAATAAGAGAGGAGGAAAGACAGATGCCAAGCATGTTACTGCTTATTCAGTAAGCTGTATTGCTGACTGAATTTTGGTTTAAAATATTTTGAGCTCTCATTTCTTGTCTGATTGCATTAGTACAGAACTGCTCTAAAGATTGTAACCTGAAATTGTAGAAGGAGATTGACTAGAGTTGGATATAATGACATAAATGAATTATTTGTGCAAGATGTTAAGTGAAGAAATGCAATTTATAAAGGGGCCTTTTAGGAAGGGATACACACCAAGCCGATAGCTGTTGTGTTGGGCAAACTTAATGTAATTAATTGCTAATTGGAGCCTGACTAATGTAGTTTAGGATTTTATGAGGGTTCCAATTCTATTTAGGATCAAATTTACTGATAAAATTGTTATTTAAGTCTGTTAAATATTTAAATTATTTTTATTAGCTTTATGTATCTCTTTTAGGGTGTTTTGGTCATGAAGGGAGAAGACATAATTCTGATCCAACCAGGTCCCTGATAATTGTTTGGATGAAGCTTTAGGTATCCCTTTAGGTTGTCTTGGTTGTGAAGGGAGAAGACATGGGGATGATTCTGATCCAATCAGGTTTCTATTACTTGAGAAAGAATTGATCTGTTACCAAAGAAAGTTAGAATAATAGGCTATTTTCCAATCAAAATAGCCGCAGGGATAGTGCATGAGACTTCTGCAATGCTGGATTTAGGGAACTCAGCGAGTAGATGGTCAATGTATGCAAATGGGTGTGCATATTCTTTACTCAACTTCCTTTCCCATATTCATACTTATCATTTAAGAAATCCAACCATAATTGACCTTTTTATTTTGCCAGATTGCATCTCAGAAATGCTAAAAATTGAGAAGGGATCTGATTGAAGTTTACAGAAATATGAGGAAGAAATTGTCCTATTTCCAAGTTATTTGATTTTTGGCTCAAGGATACCCCTTTTCCTTTATGAATTTCTTTATGTTTGCTGACGCTACAAAGAAAATGTGCAATTTTGTTTCCTTGCCAAGGTATACATAGTAAATTAAGCATGCTCTGATCCTTCAGGGGGTGGCCTCTCCTGCATGTTTCATTGGCTCACAAAGAGGCCTCTTGTTGTTGCTTATATTAAACACCAAACTTTCCTGTGCTCTAAGAAAATAACATTCTGGTTTAGGAGAATCAACATCATGTTGAAATTTGATAAATTACCACCAGGGAAAAATTAGAAATTTATATGTATGCTAGTGACTATGATGAATCATGGCTTGATTATAGGCTCGAAACCTCCTGTAATGAGTATCATTCAGAAGACTATGACTATTATACAGTAGTAAATAAGAAGCAAAATTTTAGGGTATAACTGCAAACGTAGTAGTTGGTGGCCAAAACATTTGAAATCTGATATTGTAAATTGCTAGATTTGGTTTTATGCAAATGTTAGCTTGATTGATGCCTAGATAGTTGGCATAAGAATATTCTAGCAGTGGTATGAAAAAAATGATTGACAACCTTGGCTGCACGCAGCTATGAAATCAATTTTAGAGTGGGTTTTGTTTGCTTCATTCTCAACGGCTGTGCTGAGTTGGAGAATTCTGTGATCTGTGATACCAGATCATAACTGGACTACTGCATTTTGGGTATGTCTATTCTTAAATCCATTAGAAAGAGGGATGTTGAACTAAGGGGTGGAAATGGAATTTGCAACAACCATTTGTATTTTACAACAATTGGATTTACTTATGATTTTTACATGCTTGATGTTTTCCACATATCTATTGTTCTTTTCAATTGTTTGATTGTTAAGAGATTTAAACTCATTTTGTAAGCAATCATTTGTTTGTTTTTCCTAGTCTTCAATGACCCGATTATTCTTACACCGTGTTTACTTGGGAAACTTTTGGAGGTTCACATTGGTACATAGAAATATATGCCTTACTGAAATTCTTACTACACCTGATTGAACTGGTCCACTCTGGTGTTTGTTCCATGAGGCAGTTTAATTAGATTGCGAAAATTCATATCTAACAATTATATGATCCTAAAGAAATAAATGTTTTCGGGGACAATGTGCTCATTAGAAATATGTGCAGAGTGCAGTTGTATTTGTTATTTAAAGTACCTTTAGATTGTTTACGTGGATAAAAACCTGAAGGAATGCATATTTCTTGTATGTAAGTGAAGTATTGTTTTGTTTGTAGCAAGTCATAACAAATTAAAATAATTATTATTCTGTTATTAGGTCACGTTTGTTGTGAAGCACTTCAATGATCCACGGATACAAAGTGCTGACATCAAAGATCTTCTTTTGCACTCCATATCATCCTTGGTACAGTGCAAGGACTACCTAGTTGCTTTTGAGGACAACAAGGAAGCAATTCAGAGATTGCCCAGGGCATTGCTGTTGGCATTTGATAACAGATCCTGGATTCCGGTTGCAAACATAATTCTCAGATTATGCAAAGGTTCTGGATTTAGTTACTCAAATCATGCAGGATCCTCATCATCGGCCCTTTTCCAGGTTAGAATGCCATTAATATCTGACTCCTGGTTGATTATAAATGTGATGCTATTTGTCATAGTCTGTTATTTTGCATCATGAAGGTACTATTTCGAGAGGCTTGTGTCCATGATGAAGCTCTATTTTCTTCATTCCTCAATCGTCTTTTTAACACACTTAGTTGGACTATGACTGAATTCTCAGTGTCTATCCGAGAGATGCAAGAGAATTATCAGGTGTGTTTTCTTTTAATTTGTAGATAATTTGATTATTATTATTATTTATTTCTGTAAAGATATGAGGAATTCTGTTATCAACCATCTTTTTTCTCCATTAGTGCTCAGTTTGCTCTGAGAAATTTAAATGAGCATTTTGCTGCTCTTATGTGAACAATATCTTATAATTTGAACTACTGATCTCCTATGATTTTGTTGAAGATAATCATAGTAATAAAGAGAAGACTTCTTTGTATATAATTTGGATGGCTAAAAGCTTCATAGATGTGTAAGGTTCAAATTTTTGTGGTCTTGTGCTTTCAACCAGCCCATATAGTCTTCACATTGAAAAATTAGGGATCAGACTCTCTTTGTTGACCACAGATGGGATCACAAGGTGGTCAAAGGCCTTTCTAGCTTCCAGTGGCCAAGGTGATTCTATGGTCTTCGGGAGATTGAAATATATCTTATTTTTCAATTGTTCCCATGTGGAATTTACACAAGTTTGGGGTTCAGGAATCATCTATGTTATCTGGGGGTTCCATGATAGGCCACACCTGGGTTGTTTGGCAGCTCTAGCAGTTCTCCGGCTGACATCACTGTTCCTATCCATTTTCACCTTAATAGAGCTCTTGTAGTTCATTTTTCTTGTTGCATAGGCTTGTCTGGACAAGAAAAAACCTGAACTTCGGAGTAGGGTTCTGGGTCTCACTTGGGTGGGCCATTGTTGTACTCACATTTATTGCCTCCTTTGGAACTTCGTAATTTCGTATCGTATCGATGTTTCGAGCTTTGCTCGGTATGGTACAGTACGGGCGACTGAGCGATACGTTAGGATCTACCGTTCGGTACATATATATATATATATATATATAAAATAAAAAATATAAAAATCAATATATAAAATTATAAAATATATAAAACATATAAAAAATAAAAAAAGGAGGCATATGCTGCCTTGGTGATGTCACCTCCTTTTCTTCTCTTCATTGCATCAAACGAGGAGAAGAACGTGGTCTTCTCTTCATCTGTGGCATTCGGCGAAGACGTGACGTCTTTGGCCTTCGGCGAGGGAGGGCGGCGCTGGATCCGGATCGTCAAGGGATGGCGGCGCCGGATTAGATAGCGTCAAGGTTCTCCTGATTCTCCCTCTTTCCCTTGATGCTTCTTCTTCCCTCGCCCTAGCCAGGCCGCAGCCAGGCTGATACCACCCGGTAGCAGGCAGTCCGCGTACCGGTCTGCTGGTGAACTGATGTATTGCTCGGGCAGTATCATTCGAAATTAAAATCCTTGATTATAATCCATGAATATTTTATAGTTTTAATGGTAGAGAAATATAAGTTAGAGAGTTATGAAATATGAAGGACTTTAGAGGTGAGATATAGGACAGAAGCTGGGAGTGAACTCATTGGAGGGAGAAAAGAGATAATTAAAGCTAAACATAAAGAAAACATGTTTACTAAACAAATTGACTACAATCCCTGTGTCATTAAGCAGGTCAGAGTCTTTATATCGTTTACAAGGCTTCTTGTTCATTTAGTAAAAAGTTTTACAGAAGTTGGAAATCTTGTATATTTAAAATCTTCCTAAACATATTAATCTCTCAAAAATTGAACCAACTCATCCAAACTAAAGTATATTTAAATAGGACTTTGAAGTAATTACCTGACCAAGTGGCAACTGAGATGACTTATCTTATATAGCCACTAAAAATAATCACAAAATTTATTAGATCTACAAGTCCTAATCTAAACTATGTTAGATTTAACCTAGATGCTAGCTGGACTCAAACTTGATCTTGGCTCAAAACCAAGTTACATCATTTTATCTGTGTAGTTTTTCTTTTCTTTCTTCCTCATCTTTTATGCAATGATATCTTTAATTATGCTAGTTTGCTTGACACACTTAGTACAGTAATTTGTTTCTTTGGTTTGAATATTGTTTTTCATATGATAGATGGGACAAGATTGTAAGATCAGTATTTGAGTTTTAAATCTTCATGGACTGTATTCATAACTATTCCATGTTAACGTTTTCTTCACATTCACATTATTATATTTGACAAACTTGATGCATTCTGAAGGCAATAAACATTATAAATTTGATGCATGATATTACTTTTCCTTTTTTAAAATAACTAGTAGGTTGGTTTTGCTTTTGCAGATTGGTGACTTGCAGCAAAGAAAATGCAGTGTTGTTTTTGATCTGTCATGTAATCTCGCAAAGATTCTGGAGTTCTGTACACGTGAGATCCCTCAGGCATTTCTCTTGGGGCCTGATATGAATCTACGGCGGCTTACAGAATTGATCATATTTATTTTGAACCATATAATTTTCACTTCAGATTCTGAGTTTTTTGACATGTAAGTTTGAAAATAGTTAAGCGATTCTAGTTGAGACCACTTTTATCTCTTTCCAAATGTTGATTAATTAGGAGGTTTTATGTCTTATGACACAAGCTTAGCAAAAACAAGAATGAGTTGCTTCATGGTTAAAATAGAAAATTATATTGTTTATGATCAACTTAATTAATTGGAGTTGCATCAATTGGAATTGGCCAGTAGGAAACAAGTATATGGGCATCACAAAGGACAAATCCAATAGGAACTTTCTTATCGAGTCTTAAGCTGTTAGCAGGGGTATAGTTGCAAGATGCCTATTAATTTGATTAAACCTTAAAGTTGTAAGTGAATGCCGGAGAAGTTCCTGTTGACAGAATTAGTAGTAGTGTTTGCAATGAAGTAATTGGTGAAGAATGTTTGAATCTAAGCTAATAGATTCAAAGTTAACTTGATTAAAAGAGTTAATTGGATACTATAAGTTTTGTGCTGAAACAACTTCTGTTCATAATGAAATTCATGCTGAGGCTGAAGTTTACATGAAACAAGTTTTATTAATGAATGGAAACAAATTGAAGATGAAAAGTAACAAATAAGCATAATAATAAGTAAAAGATAATAGAAGAGGAACGGCATACAGGATCTTTAATAAGGTGGCAACGCAAATAGAAACAAATATAGAAAAAGTTGTAGAGTCGGAATAACTCAACAAAGGAAGAGCAAAGAAGCCGATGATTTAGTGGCCATGGAGAAGTTTTTTTTCATTGATGAGATTCCATCACATAATCAATTAATCCAAGGTTTCCTCTTTAATTTGACTCAGCTAGCCCCTATGACAGAGAATATAAAGTATAATACAGCAGAAGTGTTTCAGAAAACAAAAAAAGGTGATTTACACACCCTGGTGATATCTTATGGTACTTTGCGTGGATTGTTACCCATTGTTGCCTTTATGGCTACAATAGCAATTTTTATCTGCTATAGTATTTATTGCTATTAAGGAGATATAAAACAGGTTCCTGAGTTTGTAATACTTCAATATACAAGAAATCTCTTTTGGTCTATCTGCCCTTTTATTATGCATTTCGTTTTGTACTTTAGATAGCTTAGGTTTCCTTCTGACTTCTTTTTTATATATTTGTATCTACAGGTCAGTTAGGCGACCTTGCCAATATCAAGAGAAAACAAATCGAGCCATTATCTTAGCACCTCTTGTTGGTATTATAACCAGCTTAATGGATGCTCACACAAATTTGGAACAAATGGACCTGAATGATGTTGTAGGGGTGTTTGTGAGCATGGACTGCCCTGCTACTGTTTTTCAATGCTTGTTGGGCTACAATTGGGTTAGATTTTTTTTCTATCTTGAATTTTTATTTCCTTATATTTGAATTATTCTCTTGGTAGAACAACAGGAAGTATTCTTGAGAAAACAAAAATATAACTCAAATATATCGATCTTTTACAATCACGGGACTGAATTTTGAGTGAATTAACGAATGACTTCCTAGTTGGAAGATTAAAGAAATTTCTTTTCGAAATTTAGGATCTCATTTAGACATCTATGGTGTTCTACCAATAGACTTTTGACACATTGATCCTAGAATATAGTTGTAATTGAGCAGAAGTTGCTTAGTCCTAAGCTGCTCACAGTTTAGAAAGCAGGTTGTATGAGAGAGGAAACATTTTCATTTGATGTGTGATTAATAACCGATGTAGAATATTTTGGCCACAGTACCCTAACAATTGAACTACATCTTTGGAGGTTGAATTTTGGTGGGCTTGTTTTGCTAGGATCTGCTTTTTTTCTTTTAATCTATAGTTGCATAGTTATTGCCTTGAACATATATGATTTCATTTTGATAGTGTTCATTCTTCTCTCTACACCTCCAGCTACTCGTGTAATCTCCATATAATTTTGCCGACTAATGCTCGTCTCTATCCTTCTGAGCACCTCCTAACTTTATTGGTGTTGTTGATTTAATAATCAGAATTTTGAGAATTGCATAATAAACTTGCTGAGTCTGTCATGAAGTGTTTCTTGAATCTGCCTCCCATTGCTTTACCAAATTAATATTATGAAATATTTTAATGTTCTGCTGAAGACGATTCCCATATGCTTGGAACCTTGAATTTACTTAGCCATGTCCATTTTGTTGGTTGTTAATTACCAACTGCTGTGAAGTGAAACCTGGGATATATAATGGCTCCTGGATAAGATATACAATTATAGTGCTTTGACTGCACAAGGACTTTCTACGGTATACAGATAGCAGTTATGAATTTATGATTTTTCTCAAAGGCTTTTTTGATATCAAATCTTCGAATCACATAAAACAAAAGCAAGACTTCATAAAATAAAGAAATCAAGGAGTCACAGTTAATTGTTGTCTAAATCTCATTTCACCATCTTTGCAGAGTAATGTCCTTAGAGGGGATGCTTCTCTTGCCAAGCTAGCAAAGCTTGAGGAATTTTCCAGTAACCTGAGAAGAAGAACAGAGGCCATAAAAAGGACAGAGTCATGTGTCAGAACTGGCGACGACGAAGCAGAAGACTGCTGTTGCATCTGCTATGCTTGCAATTCAGATACCATGTTTGAGCCATGTCATCACAAGTCATGCCATGGTTGCATTACACGGCACTTATTGAACGGCCAGCGATGCTTCTTTTGTAATGCGATAGTCACATCTGTGGTGATGGTGGAACCAAGGAACTGAAGTTGGGAGACCAGAGGTTGGTTGTGATTACTGATTTCTGCAACCTGGTGGCCTAGGTCATTGGCATTATCTGTGTCGTAGCTGTAAGGTAGTCAAGGGACCTTTTTTTCTTTGGGATCACCACCATCACTGTACAGTTGTTGCAACAAAGTTGTCAATGCAATGGAACAACATACGTAAAAGAAAAGATATTACCCATTTATATAAATCCCTGAAGCTATGGGTTGCATAGAAGTACTGGGAGGGATCTACAAAAGGTGAATTTTGTAGAGTCTAGGCATTTTATTCTGTATATATGAGAATGTAATTCAAGGAAATCTTCTATCTCCAGCTGCTATTAATCTAAAATAAGGAGAGATTGTTTAGGTGCTTTGCCTTGTTTCCTTGATTCTGTTTGATGTGCCTGTGCCAGCTGTTGACAAGCTTATGTACTAGGAACTAAAAAAAAGATGATTCATGAAGTTATCCTACTCTTCACTGTTAGCTGAGGCTCCGAGAATATAGTGGTACGTACATGTTCATGTTACCTTTTTCTCTTGGAAACAAACGCCTATGATTTAGGATCACATTGGCAAATGTCTTCTGGGAAGAAGGACCTGCTGGATTGTGACTTTCATATCAGTTGGGAGTTCTTGTCAGCCCACGCCATCACGGCCAAGTTCTGTTGTATGAGACATGAGATTACCCCGTACGTTTTAGTTCCATGAAACAGTTTCACGTCGAAGAAAAGGATTTATAAGATTGGATTTACATTGAGAGCTCGATACATGGAGGCCTTACATGTTTCTTCATCAAGATTCAGATCATGAACTTGTAAATAAGCTTGAGGCCGAGATGAAAATTAAAAGACAGATGGGATGACGACTGTACCTGCAAATAAGGTTAGGTCGACAATCATAGCTTAGACTTGAATGTGATTCATTTGTGATGAAGATGATGAGAGTTGAAATGAATGAGCAAAAACAAGATTAGATGAAGTTGCAGATGACATTGACCATAATATTTGTATTGCATTAGATACTATTGGTGGTTGAGTTGTGTCGAGTGATGATATATATCTTTACAATATTGAAAAAATGCTGGTTGAATACTATGGCAGCGAAGATGATGGTTTGTTTTTTAATATCATAGTTCTTTGTGCTGAAGATGATGAATTTGTTTTGAACGATCTTTTTGTTGGTCAGATATAGACCATATATATGATTTTCCTAATTATTTTAATTTCTAAAGTGGCCTATTTATGATATATAATAATATTTAACATAATTTGAAATTTCTATAGGTATTTTGAGATTAAAAAAAAATTCAAGAAAACCTTGTAAGATATGCAATTTGAAGAAATTTTGAAATCAAGCATGTTGCAACTAATAGTTATAAATGTATAGTTTTCATTTGCAAATAAATGATAATAGCTCATGGTGGAACCAAAAGTTTCAAAATTATGAAGTTTACTAAAGAGAATCGATGTAATTTGTCAAGCTTAATAGAAACATAAATAATACATTAATTATTTCATTACAGATCATATTAAAGTTCAAGATTTGACATTATATTTCAAAGATAATTATTATAGATATTTAAAAGAGATTAAAAGTTATTATATTTAATAAAAATAATTATTTTGCGTGTGAGATTATACTTAACTAAGTGGTGACCTCATATTTGAAATGGTAATTACATCAGAAAATCAATTTCAAAGATTTTTTGGCATTTCAAAGAAATGCCTTATAAGTTTTGTGAGATATATGTGATATATTTTTGATGCCGCATATTTATTGGGCAAACATTTTAGTTCTTTGACGATGGCTACAACTATTAATGGTGCTAATTAATTATTTTCAATTGCATTTATTACGATCCGGATAAGTAGAAATTTATGGAAATGGTTCCTATATCATTGGAAAGTAAGGGTTGTTAATTGTAAAAACTTAACCAATATTAGTGATTGTAGCTTAAGAATTCTTTCGGTTACAAAGGAGATATACCCAAAAGCAAATCATGGTTATTAGATGATTCATGAACAATTTATGAGATAGAAATAGTACAAATATTTTTTAGGTTGCTACTAGGGCTACTACTATATATAAGTTTGATGAATACATACAAAAGTTTTAAGTTTTAAGAAAATTATAACGAAAGTTTCAATTGAATATCTAAACTTAAGGACAAATGGACAATCATGTTTTTCTTTAACCATCACCATACTATGCTAATAAAAAATGGATCAAAAATTATCAAATGATTTTACATCTGTTGTCAAATAGCCAACAAATTAAAATACACTATGACAAATATTTTAAGGGAAGAAGGACGATACTTAAGAGTTTTTCTTGATGTTAATATTAAATTATAAATTTAAATATCCTTTGAGGTAGTTATAGTAGGTTTGGAGAGAAAAAGTATCATTTTGATTTTTTAAGATTTCTATACTCTGGTGGCTATTAGGTATCATAATGTTACTACTCGTTAATTTTGTAAAGAATATTATATAATTGAAACTTCTAAGAAAGCTTACAATGATAAAGGATTTCCCATAAGGATTAAATAGTATGTGATACAACCAATGATGATCGCATTGTTTAATCTTTTAGAAGCATGGTGCATATCGATATTGTCCAATGTGATAAGGTTCATTTTAACGCTTGTGGTTTTAGTCATGGACCACTTAAGCCCTTATGGTTTACTTGTATATAAAATAACCCATACATTTTTAAAAACGTAGTATATAAGTCCCTTCTATCAAGTCTGAGTTAATAAATATTAAAGTCTACTTATGTGACATGCTGACTCATAATAAATTATTAATATAATGACATATATAATTTAAATTAAAAAAAGATCTATTTTGACCCATGTGATTTTGGTCATGGACAACTTAAGCCTTTATGATTTTATTTGTGTCTAAAATAACTCATACATTTTAAAAAACGTAACATATAAGCTCCTCTCATCAAGTCTAAGTTAACAGATGTTAAAATCTACTTACGTGGAATGTTGAGTCATAATAAATTATTAATATAATGATATATAGTTTAAGTTAAAAAAAAATTATTTTGTTGAGGAAAAGGTGTTGAGAAATCTTGGATAGCATTACCTGCGTAGTAGAAGAATAAAAAACAGAAATCTCATATTTTTTGTAGAAAAATGTTCTCATCATCGTGCGAAGATTGGTGCACGAAAAACCCACAAAACAAAAAAACGCATATGTGAAAGATATATTATTAGGGAGATCATATATCCCTAAAAAATTCTAGATCTATAGAAGAGGATGAAGGAGGTTAGATGTCCTCATCTCTAGTGGTGATTCACATAACAGATGCGGCGAAGACGTTCCTCAAATCATTGCACGATCTTCCTCTCTATATGCAACATGTGATCAAGAAGGGGTCGACCTTTCCTGCTCTCCACACGGCCCCAATTGGGGCTGTTGACTAAGGAGGAAAGAGAGGGAGTAGTGCTAGTCATAGGTGCCCTACAAGCCAATCACGTGAGTGATGACACGTAGTCTTTTTGCTTATTATTATTATGATATTTTCTCACTTTATATTGCTTGATGCATAAATATATTGTGATGTCTATGAATTTATGTAATGGGAATCAGATTTTGATGAGATCACTATAATGAGACCGATTCACCTTTAAACACAAACCCTAAATAATCTTGGTCATAGGTTACTCGAGAGGAACATTGAGATAATCAGACAGACTAGTGTGTTGTATACTCATCCATATAATGGAGGTGACTAGTCTCATAGCTGCTCTTGTGGGGACACTATGGCTACAATACAGGTGCTCATTGGAGAATGAATTCACTAATTGATCTGCTCACAGAATGTTGGATGGTTGAAGATACCTTATTATTAGATAGTGATTTTGTCATCCCAATGGTGTACCTGGACCTTAGACTTGAGACACTAAGGATGATATCCTATATAAGTACTTCATTCTTTGATACCAGACTTATAGGCTTGAAAGTTCTAGATCTAGTACAACCGGTCATCGAGAGTGGTAGTCTACCTTACGAGGGCTATTGAGTGTCGATAGAGGATTATTCGCTCTCGGTATCATAAGAGGAATATCCCATGTGTTCTTGCTTAAATAAATCCTTGGCCAAGATCATTCAAATAGAGAGAGAGAAGGAGTTTTTTAAGAGAATCCGATTAAAGCGAGACTCGAGGATAAACCGTATGGGCCTGACAGCACCATGCACGATATATGGTCTCTAGGATATTAGATAGATGAGAGACTCTAGGTAAATGATAACTGAGGACAGATAGGTCCAAAGAATTGAATTCCCTTGTATCATCTAGGGACTACGGTGTAGTGACCTAGTACATCTACAATCGATGAGTCAAGCGAATTATTATGTAGATAATAATTCACTAAGCCAGAATGAGTTCTGATATATATGACTCATGGCCAGCTCGATATTGGGCCTAGAGGGTCACACACATATGGTAGGTGTTGCGACAAATAGAGGTTTGGATATAAGATATCCACCGAAGTCCCTATCTTAATGGATATCCAATAAGCCCATGAATTATTGGATCCTATGGATGAGATCCAATAAGAGCTATAAGAGAATATTGGATAGAAATCCATCAATCTAAGAGGCTTGGATAGTTGGATGAAGATCCAATACCCAATAGGGTAGGATATATTAGGGTTAAGTTGATAGGGGGCCTCTATAGATAGGAGAGAACCAAAGAGTCATAGGCTAGGTCTTTTTGGTTACCACTTCCTATTCTCTTCTCCTCCTCAACCAACAGGTGCGAAGATTTAGGCAACAATTTGAGGAGCATCTTTACAGCCTCTGCCATGTAGATCACCACTAGAGAGGAGGATATTTGACCTCTTTCATCCTCTCCCATAGATCTGTAGGATTTCAGGGATATATGATCTCCCTAGGTAACACAACTATCTCAAGCGTAGTTTTTAGTTTTGTGGGTTTTTGCGTGCCAATCTTCGCACGATGATAAACATATTTTGGGAAATTTGAGAATTTTGTTTTATGTTCTTCCATTGCACATGTGATGTCACCCCTAGATTTCTCTACAAGGAGAATAGGTGGTGGCAACCAAAAAGGGTCTAGCCTATACACATTTGGTTCCCTTCTATTTATTGAGGTTCTTATCTACTTAACCTTAATGGATCTTGCTCTATCGGGTACTAAATCTCTATCCAACTATCCAAGCCTCTTGGATTAGTGGACCTCTACCCAATAATCTCTTATTAGCTCTTATTGGATCTTATCCATAATATTCAATAATTCAGGGGTTTACTGGATATCCAATAAGATAGAGGCTCTAGTGGATATCTCATATCCGAATCCCTACTCATCGCAACATCTACCATATGTGTGTGACCTTCTAGGCCCAATA